ATAAACTTTTGTTACAAAGTTTTTAATTGCTGTATATTTAATCTTTCATATTTAATGAACCATTAACACATCAGTAGATACTTAAGATATTCAAGTCAAGAGACTATGTGAAAAACAGCAAAACATTTGCTTTTTAAAATATTATTTGTAGGGGCTGGGAAGGTGGCTCAGTGGTTAAAAGCGCTTGCCTTGCATGCCTGAGGCCCTGGGTTCGATTCCTCAGCACCACATAAGCAAAAAGAAAAAAGCCAGAAGTGGCACTGTGGCTCAAGTGGTAGAGCGCTAGCCTTGAGCTAAAGAGCTGAGGGACAGCGTCCAGGCCCAGAGTTCAGGCCCCATGACCGGACCCAAAAATAAATAAATAAATAAAAATGAAAAATAAAATATTATTTGTAGAGAGGGGACTGGTCCTGAGGCTTGAACTCTAAGACTGGGTGCTCTCCCTCATTTTGCTCATGGTTAGCACACTACCACTTAGATCCATAGCGCCACTTCTGCTTTTCTAGTAGTTAATTGGAGCTAAGAGTCTCACAGACTTTCCTGCCAAGGCTGGCTTTGAACTATGATCCTCAGATCTCATCCTCCTGAGTAGCTAGGATTACATGTGCCACTAGCACCCAGGAAATTCAGGCATTTTTTAAAAGTTCTAGATATTCACTAATATTTATTTCTGATAAATTTACTTTTTCTAGAGTTTGTGTAGGTTTACATATCCTTCACTGTGAGAGAACCTGTTTTCATACTTTTTAAATTCTAAAAATATTTTAGAATATCAGGCTGGGAAGATAGCTCAGTGGTAGAATGCTTACCTTGCATGTATGAGGCTCTGGGTTTGATTCCTCAGCACCACATAAGCAGAAAAAGCTGGAAGTGGAGCTGTGGCTCAAGTGGTAGAATGCTAGCCTTGAGCTGAAGAGCAGAGGGACAGCGCCCAGGTCCAGAGGTCAGGCCCCATGACAAAAAAAAAAAAATAGAATTTAAGGTTGTGTGTGTGTGTGTTTGTGTGTGTGTGTGTACATACATATATATATATATATATATATATGTATGTATGTATACACACACATATATACATATATATTAAATAAAAATTACCATGAGATTCATCTACATTGTAACATATGTCAAAATTCCTTTCCTTTTAAAAGTTGATATATTTCAAGTATATACTACATTTGTTTATTTAGAGACACTTGGCTTATCTCCATTGTTTGGCTGTTGTTCATGATGCTTCATTGAGCATTGTCATACAAATATTTGAATCCTTGTTTTCAATTCTTCCAGTTATAACTAAGAAGCACAATTGCTGGGTCATACCATAATTCTGTGATTTGGTTTTTGAGAAATTACCAAACTTGTTTTCCATAGAATCTGCACCATTTTACATATGTACTAGCAGTATTACAGAGGTTCCAGTTTCTTTCTTGCCACTACTTGTTATTTTGTTTTTTGTTTTAAATTTTAATTGCAGCATTCTTTTTAAGTATAAAGTTGCATCTCATTCTAGCTTTGATTTATGTTTCTACAATGACTAAATATATTGAGCATCTTTTTAAATTTTTATTTTATTGTAAAGATGCTGTACAGAGGGGTTACAGTTACATGAGTAAGGGAATGAGTACATTTCTTGTTAAGCATTGTTACCCCTTCCTTAGTTTTTCTCCTATTATCCCTTCCCTCCCCCACCTCTCTTGCTCCCCCCGCCATTGTAAAGTTCATTTCCAACATAATGTCTTGTGACTATCATTGTTGAAACAGGTCATACTTGTTTCAGCATGTTGGTATTCCCCTTACCCTCCCCAAATTAGATAAATGTATATACAAGATACAGGGTAACAAAATCAAAGGAAACAAAAAACAATCACATAGAACATTAAAAACAACAACAAAGACCTATTGTGTCTATGTCTTGGGGTTCATTTTGCTTAGCATCATCTTATATAATCATATGTATATAACTTTTGAGCTTTTCTGCTCATCTGATAAAATTATCCTAGATACATGCTAATAAATGCAAATGAGGGAAACCATGGGACCTAAATTTCTTTGAGTCTGACTTACTTCACTTGATTTTTTTCTAAATCTTTCCATTTCCTAACAAATGGGGTGCTGATAAAAGCATAGAATTCTATTATGTGTGTGTATATATGTATATATATATGTATATATATATATATACATATATATATACATATATATATGTGTATGTGTATACATACACATACCACATTTTCTTGATCCAGTCATTTACTGAGGGGCATCTGGGTTGGTTCCATATTTTAGCTATGGTGAATAATGCTGCGATAAACATAGTTGTGTTGGTAGCTTTAGTATGGCCTTGTTTCTGATCATTTGGGTAAATGTCCAGAAGTAGGATTGCTGGGTCATAGGGGAGCTCTATGTGGAGTTTTTTGAGGAACCTCCATACTTCTTTCTAGAGTGGTTGAACAAGTTTCTACTCCCACCAACAGTGCAGTAGGGTTCCCTTTTGGCCACATCCCCTCCAGCATCTGTTGTTATTAGATTTCTTGATTATAGCCATTCTAACTGGGGTGAGGTGGAATCTCAGTGTTGTTTTGATTTGCATTTCTTTTATGGCCAGAGAAGTTATTTCTTCATATGTCTGTTGGCCATTCTTATTTCCTCTTCAGAGAAGTCTCTCTTTAAGGCTTTAGTCCAGTTATTAATGGCAGTTGTTTCTTTGAGGGTTTGTTTTTGGAGGATTTAATTTTTTGAGTTCTAAGTATATTTTAGATATGAAGCCTTTGTGTGTTGTGTGCCTAATAAAGATCTTGTCCCAGTTGGTGGCTGTCTATTGATCGTGTTGAGCATCTTTTCAAGTTCTCATATGGGTACTTGCATATGTCTTCTTTGCAAAAATTATTCATGTTTACCCTTTCGTTGATGTTATGGTTTGGGTTTTATGGGGTGTAGTTTGGATTTTTTGTCATTATTTAAAGGGGTTTCATTGTAACATTTCCATACATACATATAATATACTTGAATCAAATCTCCTTACTCTTTCTTAATCTTCATTCCTCTACTTTTTTTCCCACAATTTTAATGGGCTTCATTATTGTGTTTTTATGCATACATATGAAGTTTTGAGATAGGGTCTCCCTATGTAGTGCAGGCTATCCCTGAACTGTCTACCCATCTACCTTAGCCTCCTGGGTGCTGGGGTTGCTGGGTTTATAGACATGTGCTACTACATATAGCCCTGTACATTTCCAGTGAATTTTAAATGAGATGATAGTTTTAATGAATAATAAATTTTAAATGAGATTATTATAATTTGTTAGTAAGGATTAATGTATTCAACTTTAGCCATTTTTGTTCCTATTTAAAGCCCTGTTAATGATACTGTCCTTTTATCTACTTGATTTTAGTATTCTTCTTGCATATATATATCTTTTTAATATAATTTTATTATTATTAAGGTGTTATACAGAGGGGTTACTGTTTCTTAAGTCAGATAATGAATACATTTCTTTTTGGAAAGTGCCACTCCTTCCTTCACTACATATATGCCTTTTATATAGCAAGTGTTTATAAGTTAATTTAGCTAGTAGGAATTGAATTTAGTTCTAAGACATCTTTTTAAATATAACTGAATCAGCCAGATGCCAGTGGCTCACCCCTGTAACACTAGCTATTCAGGTGGCTGAGATCTGAGGATTGCAGTTCAAAACCAGCCCGGGCAGGAAAGTCCGTGAGACTCTTTATCTTCGGTAAACTACTCAGAAAAAACCAGAAGTGGTGCTGTGGCTCAAGTGGTAGAGCACTAGCCTTGAGCACAAAGACACTTAGGGATAGCACCCAGGCCCTGAGTTCAAGCCCCAGGATCAGCAAAATACAACGACAACAAAAACCCAAAGATAGAATCAATTCACATAAAGTGTTATTTTAAAATAAAATAAATATCCAAACATTAAATTATATAACTGGAGTTTTCTGTACTCTCAATTTTGTTTTTTGCCTTAATATGTCTGGCACATAATAGACAATTATTGAATGTTAGTTGGGTTGGTGACTATACAGACATAATTTTAGTCAGGTTATTACTATTCTTAATAGCAGAGGTTATTAAGAGCAGATTTTTTTTGGGGGGGGGGGGTTCCGTTCGTGGGGCCTGAACTCTGGGCCTGGGCACTGTCCCTCAGCTCTTCAGCTCAAGGCTAGTGCTCTACCACTTGAGCCACAGTGCCACTTCCGGCTTTTTTCTTTTTGCTTATGTTGTGCTGAGGAATCGAACCCAGGGCCTCAGGCATGCAAGGCAAGCGCTCTACCAATGAGCCACCTTCCCAGCCCCAAGAGCAGATTGTTTTAAATGGTAAAAATTTAGCTTTGATTTTATTTTAATCTTTAGTCTGTAGATTTATTAACCTTTGTTGTTTGCATGATGGGCTAATAAAATGACTCTTGGGATTGGGGATTTCGCTCGGTGGAAGAGCACCTGCCTTGCAAGGAAGGCCCTGAATTCAGTCCTCTCATCTGCAAAAATAAAACAAAACAAATAAAAAGACTCTTGGTTCTTGGAATGCAAAAACACTTTAAAATATCCTGAATGAGATACAAAAGTATCTTGACTATCTAACTGTGAAACTTCTGTTTTATCTCCTAAGAAGGAGTAGGTTAAGTGATTGTTTTTTGTTATTGTTACTTAAACATTGAAAGAATAGTCACTGTTGAAGAAAAACATTTTGGGAAAGGCAGATTCTTGTAATTGGATTGTTGACATTGTTTAAAAAATATTGGCATACCCTGATTACTATATAAATAAACTTTGTTTCAATTAAAAACAGAAGTCATTCTTTTTAATTATAGAAACCTTGTAATTGGTGGTATAATTCTTTCTAAAATTCGTAGTTTAAAGTGTTAATATTTTACAAATTTCTGAGTTATTTCTGAAAAGTATATTCTTATAGAGCAACATTCTGTTAAGTGTTTTCCCTTTTACTTGGATGTTTTTCTGATTTTTTGTCATTGATGATTTTTAGCCAACAGAAGCTGTTCCTCCCTCTCCTCCCACTGTCCCTGTGATCCCTGTCCTGCCAGTCCCCGCTGAGAATACTGTCATCCTACCCATCGTATCACAGGTTTTTATTGGTTTACTTTTTCTTTATAAACATTTTGTTTGCTTTTGTTTTTTATTTTTTTTTTAGTTTTTAACATTTTTTGGTTAGTTTGTTACTTTGGGCATTAATTGGTACTTTTAAGAAATTCAGTATTTGGGGTCGGGCCTGGTGGCTCATGCCTTTAATCCTAGCTATGATCACTGTTCAAATCCAGCCCAGGCAAGAAAATCCATGAGAGTCTCATCTCCAATTAACTATTCAGAAAACTGAAAGTGGTGCTGTGGCTCAAATGGTAGAGCACTAGCCTTGAGCTGAACAGCTGAGGGACAGCATCCAGGCCCAGAGTTCAAGCCCCACTACCAACAAAAAAGAAAAGACAGAAAGAAATTCAGTATTTGGGATTTACATAAAATGGTTTAACATTTGCCATTTTATTAGGCAGATTATGAAATAACATTCATTCTGTGTTTAATTTTTAAAATATTTTTAAATATTTAAAATTTTGTCTAATTTTTAAGGTTACAAAAATCATACTCAAGGGCTGGGAAGGTGGCTCAGGGGTAGAGTGTTTGCCTTGCATTTATGGGTTCAATTCCTCAGTATCACATAAGCAGAGAAAAAGCCAGAAGTGGTGCTGTGGCACAAGTGGTAGAGCGCTAGCCTTGAGCTAAAAAGCTGAAGGACAGCGTCCAGGCCCAGAGTTCAGGCCCCACGACCGACAAAAAAAAAAATCACAGTTGATCTTGTGTTAGATATATCCTTTTATGTAGCACTGTTTTTTCCCAATATATACCATATTAGAAATATTTCTACTTCTCAGATAGCATACTTTACATGTCAGTTGTCCAAGAATATGATTATTTTTCATTTTTAGAGCCCTACTGTTCTAAAGAATAGCATTGACATTAATTGCTTTTCACACAGAGTCAAATTAATAGTAGCATTTTATATATAATATTAATAATCTTGATGTAAAGGATCTCATTTAAAATTTAATGTGTTCAGAGATTTTATTGGTGAAATTAATCAGTAGCCAAAAGTATAATGGACATAGTATGTTTGCTATATAAATGCAGGTTCAACACAAGCCCTGTTGGAGGGAAAAAGAGATACCACTGTCATTACTCATAACTCAGTTCATACACTTTGCTCAAAACTGAAAGTCTATAGGGATACCTACAAAACGTAAGATTCTAGTAGTAATGACAGTATTACAATGAGATTTCAATATTGTAATGACTGAATTAGGCTAATGTTACTACTTATAAATAATCTTTACCTTTTTGTTCATCATCTAAAAATTAAGTTACAAAAAACCTTCAAGAATTGAATAGGTAATTCCACATATTCTTACCATATTGTTTACAGGAAATCGAACTTACAGATAAGATATAATTATGGAGAAAAGCATACAGCTTATTATAATATCACATTGTTCTAAGTATCTGGGAATTATTAATACTATGAAATTTCTTGAAAGTAGGAGGTTTGAAAGTTTATTTTGCTACTGTTTCTTCCATTTATTTTAATGTTTAAATTGTTTCTTAAAGCCAGGTGCTGGTGGCTCAGGCTTACAATCTTAGCTACTTAGGAGGCTGAGATCTGAGGATTGAGGTTCAAAGCCAGCCCAGGAAGGAGATTCTTATCTCCAATTAACCATCAGAAATCTGAAAGTGGAGCTATGGCTCAATCAGTAGAGCACTGTCCTTGAGCACAAAAACTCAGGGATAGCACCCAGGCCCTGAATTCCAGCCCCATGGCTGACATACATATATAATACATATATTCGTGCATACATACATAATTCCTTAGAATTCCATTCAAACTTTTACCAACATCTGACCTTTTTTCAACTGGAACTTATTCTTTCTTGTTCAACATTCTCATTTCTTTACTTTTGGTGAATCTAACTTAGTATTCAACTACTCTTGGAAATTTTTAAGTCATCAAATTCAAACAAATATAGATCTTAAAGGTCAGATTGGTTTGGTTTGGTATTCAATCACACCACTTGTTTTGTAACTCAGAAAAGGATTTAACAATACTAAGCTTTAGTTTATTAATCTGAAGGTGATAGTAGTAATAATGAGGTATTTTACAATGATTAAAACCATAATTAGTGTTTGGGATATGGTTAGAAGTTCCCTGGTTTCATGTCTCACACTGCCACCTTCCCCCAAATAAAGGATAATTGGTGCATGTGAAATACCTTACAAAGCACCTAGGCCTATCCACCAGTCAAACTATTCATTTTATCTTGTATTTCTTTGAAACAGCAAACCAAGAAACAAGTTTGTAAAACAAAGTAGGATATATATATATATATATGTATATATACATATATATACACACACACACATACAAGAAAAGGCATATTCTCACTTTACACTTTATATACATTAAAAATGTCCATGAAAGATAATTTAATAATTATATTGTATCATCTAAGAAGCTGCTGGTATGACTTGTTTTTCATCATGTGTTCTTTGAGTATAGTATGTATATTATAAAATGAAAATAACAGATTAAAATATCTCCAAATAAAATTTTCAGTTCACACTTATGGAATATATAACCACATTTTTATAATTTTTTTTCTAAAGATAAATTTCACATTCAGTTATATTAGTATGCAATAGAACTAGAAGACACAAAATACAGTCTTTGTCCTAACTTTGTCACTCAAACAAGCTTCCTTTCTAAATTTTTTACTCTCATATTTTTCACCTATTAAAATGAGAGTTTTAATGTGTATGAATATCAGGCAAATTACACAAAGGTAGATGGATGGTAATTTTTAAAGCATATTTCACTTTTTGTAGAATGCTTTTGTACTTTTCAATAATTTTATATTAGTCATATCATTATAAAATTACAATGACTGAAATTTTATGAAAGATCCAGTAAATAGGAATTGCTTATTACACAGTGGTACAGGAAGAATACATTGAATGGTTGCTTTAAGTTGCTCAACAGCATCTATTTTATAGTCAGGCCTGAATCTACCACTTCCTAGCCCTGCTCACTTCTAGATGTGTAATGATAGTGAAATTCCTTCTCAGAATTTCAGTTTCTCCACATGGAACTAGTAACAGTCAGAATTAAGCTAATGATACTTTTTTGTAACAGTAATGGTAAGTATATCATCCGTGTTATATAGGCCTCTTAAACTGAGTTTATTTAACCCCAAGGAGGTAACTCTGCTTTGAAAGTACAGGCTTTAGCCAGGTGCCAGTGGCTAATGCCTATAATCCTCCCTACTTAGGAAGCTGAGCTCTTTTGAGGATCATGGTTTGAAGAAAGCCTGGGCAGAAAAATTAATGAAACTCTAATCTCCAGTTAATCACAGGAAAAGCCAGAAGTAGAGCTCTGGCTCAAGTAGTAGAGCAGTAACCTTGAGCAAAAGAAGCTCAGGGACAACTCAAGAACCAGCCAAACAAACACAGATGCTTTAAACCTTTATTTCTACCAATTCTAAAGAACTGTCTTGTCATTTAGATTCATAGAAAAGGCTTTATGACTGTTTTTGCGCATGAAATATTCTTTTACATTTAAACCTGTATCAGAGTGAGTTGGTTTACATTTGTTTTAGTTAATTCTTTTATTACATGCAGTAATCCAACCCTTATTTGAGGCTTGTCTTCCTTCATTTACTTGCAGTAAATCATGGCCCAAAAATATTCAATGGAAAATGCCACAGCCAATTCATAATTTTTTATTATTGTTTTTACCAGTCCTGAGGCTTAAACTTGGGACCTGGATGCTCAAGGCTGGCACTCTACCACTTGAGCCACTGGCTTTTTCTGAGTAGTTTATTAGAGATAAGAATCTCACAGACTTTCCTGCCTGCCTGGGCTGGCTTTGAACCTTGATCCGCAGATCCCAGCCTTCTTAGTAGTTAGGATTGCAGGCGTAAGCCACCAGCACCTGGTATAACTCATAAAATTTAAATAACTTTTACCATAGGACGTTGCTTACTGTTTTGTTAGTACCTACTATTAATCTTTTTCTAATTTATAAATTAAATTTTAAAACTATTATGTATATATAGGAAAGTAACAGTCTTTATAAGATGTATTTTACTACTCATGGTTTGAATCATCCATGGAGTATCTTGGAACACATACCTTTTGGATCCAGCTGGGATGTAGCTCAGTGCAAAGCACTTGCCTAGCAAGTGCAACGTCCTGGGTTCGATCCCCAGTACCAAAAAAGAAAAGACAAAAAAATACAGTTAAAAAAAAAAAAGAGGTGAATTCTAATGAAAACTCACATCATGTGTAACCTTTTGGATCCAGGGAAAGTACTATATATGAACACTAACATTGCCACTATCCCCTAAAGCCTACTCTGTACAAGAGAAAAGTTGTTGCTAGGGGCTCTAGTACTGTGTTGAATAAGAGTGAGGAGATGGTCATCCTTGCCCGGTTCCCAACTTTAGCGGAAATTATTTTGATTTTTCCCCATTTAATATGATGTTGTATATAACCTTTTAGTATGTCCCTTTTGGGGCTGGGAATGTGGCTTAGTAGTCGAGTGCTGGCCTAGCATGCATAAAGCCCTGGGTTTGATCCCTCAGTCCACATAAACAGAAAAGGCCAGAAGTGGCACTGTGGCTCAACTGGTAGAATGCTAGGCTTGAGTAAAAGCAGCTCAGGGACAGTGCCCAGCCCTGACTGGCAAAAAAAAAAAAAGTGTCCCTTCTGTTCCTAGCTTCTCAAAGCTTTTATCTTGAAAAGACATTGAATTTTCTCAAAGGCTTTTTCTATATCAAGATGACTGTGTAATTTGTGTTCTTGATATGTGATAAACTACATTGTGATATACTATATATATAGCGTGTATATATATACACTATGTAATGTGTGTGTGTGTGTATATATATATATATATATACACGCTATATATATATATACATGTGATATACTACATTTATTAATTTGTATGTTAAACCATCCTTGCATCCCTGGGAGGAAACCAACTTGATCATAGTGTATGATTTTTTTGAGTGTTCAGTTTGA